GGTTCGTGCTCGGACCCGTCTTCTCCCCTCCCTTGGGGCTTGTGGAAGTTAGGGGAGGGGCACAGCTGGTTTGGGGGGCGGGGCTGTGATCCACATTCTTGTGCTGCTTGTGGGTCTGGCTTTAGCTATTGGGGTCGCGCACACAGGGGTCATGAGAGGGGAATGCAGAGTGCGGGGGAGGGATTTCAACACAGGATGAGGAGGGGGCCTGGTGTGAATGGCACAGACACAAGATTCTGGCTGGGGCAGGTGGCTGAGGGGCCCAATGGAGGCCCTAGTGGGGGCAGTGAGTGAGCAAAGCTTTGCGGGGGGGAGGGTCGGTTTTTAATTTTGACTTTTTTTATCATCAGTGTTGATGCCCCACAGACACATGCTCCGGACCTGCCCCTACATTGATAAGCTTGGGAAATTGAACTCTCCCTGATCTCCAGCCCAGAGTCAGCCATGGCTGCACAGAGCCCTGTGGAAAGTCTCTGGGAGGAAGCGATGCCTCCTGTCTGTCTGGAGGATTTCACAGCCCCTGTCACTCTGGAGTGTGGGCACAATGTCTACCAGGACTGCCTCAGCCCTCAGTGCAGAGACACTGCGCAGCAGGGAACCCTCCAGTCTAACAGGGAGCTGGCAAACATGGCAGAACTAGCCAAGCGGCTGAGTTTCCAGGCTCCCATGGTGCTGCCCATAAAGGAAGCTACCCAGGAGTACAAGGTACAGAGCTGCTGTCCAGTGTAATGGGAAATAAGGTTGGGTTTTAATTACAGACTAATTTCACCGACTGTTCCCTGGCACAGGTGTGACACGACTTTTTATTTTTCTTGTACCCTGAAGGCTTTACAATCTTCTGGTTGTGTGTCAACTTATATCAAGTCTTTACAGAGACCTGATGTGGGAAACATTTCTCTGAGACTCAGCCTCCTCTGGTGACAGGGAGGTTTTTGTACGAGGGAAGGTGTTAATAATCAGAGGTTTAGATCACAGGAGCTATAGTCCAGTCTATGGGAGTGAGCTGCCTTGGGACTGGAGAAGAGTTTACAAGCAGTTACTGATTGTAACTTGGGGCTTGTGGGAGTTGGGGGAGGGGCACAGCTGGGCTGGGGGGCGGAGCTTTGACCCACATTCTTGGGAGCAGTAAACATTTGTAATTTGCCTTGTAGACCTGCAGTGGCATCTAGGCCCTGCATAACACCCATCAAGTGACAATCCCTGCCCTGAGCAGGTCACAGTCTCGTTAGACAAACAATAGGAAGGGAAAGCGGAGCAGCAAGTTGCTCATGATCACCAAGCCCATCAGTGACAGAGTTTAGCCCGAACACTGGTCTCTCCAGGCTTAGTCCATGGCTACATTAACCACCAGGCTACACTTCCTCTGCCTCTGAGCATCAGTGAATAGTGATGAAGTGTGACCCTTAGAAGGGAAAGATGCCTGGCTAGAGGCCGCATGCCCAGCAGGGAGAGGAGGTTTCTCACTGGGATGCTGAACTCCTGAGCTGCTCCATGAGGGTTTAAACTCAGATGCTGCAGCCAGTGCTAAAGGAGGTCACTGGGCTGGACAGCAGGGCTCCAGGCAGTGCAGGTCCATGCCAGTCACCACTGGAATTTGACTGGGTTGTAGCAAGAGGTCAATCTGATTAACTGATGAGATAATGCTTATCGGTGCCAGTTACCAGATAACCGTCCCTGGCAGCTAACGTTAGTCTGCAGCTGCTGAGAGTCCCTGTCAGCTGGCAGTCCTTGTGGCCACCTCTGGCAGACCTCACGAGAGATCTCCGACCCCAGGAGAGCCCATGTCTGCTACCAGCCTTGACTGTCAGCAGATTAAAAAGACCTTAACCTATTAAATTGTGGACGGTTACATGATTGGTATTTTTAACCCTTTTTGCCTTCCTAATGCCCACTTGCATCATTCTTTACAAACGTGCCACCACCAATCCATCCCCCACCCTCACCAGCATCCTGCTGCATCTGCTGTCTCTTTTTAAATGGACAAAAGCCAAGTCCAAGACTTGGTGCCTACCAGACAGGAACAGAGCTCCACAAAACTGGGTCTGTGCTGCTTAAGGGCAGACAAATGGGCTCCCAACATTTCATGGGTTTTGTCCTGCTGCTTATTTCTGTTTTCAGGAAAAATTGGAGACCCATTTGAAGAGATTGAGGAAAGAGAGAGAAAATCTGCTGGAATGGAAAGTGACAGCAGAGAGGAAAACCAAGGAGTATCTGGTAAGTGCCTGTGGCTATGGATTGGCAGTAGGAGGGCTGTGTAACGAAGCCAACTCCTGTGTGGTCTTAGAATCAGAGAGGTGGAAGAGACCTCAGGAGATCATCAAGTTCAGCCTTCCGCCCAAGGCAGGACCAATCCCAAGTAAATCAACTAAGCCAGGGCTTTGTCAAGCCGAGACTTAAAAATCTCTAGGGATGGAGATTCCACCACCTCCCTAGGGAACTCATTCCAGTGCTTCAGCACCCTCCTAGTGAAATAGTGTTTCCTAATATCCAACCTAGACCTCCCCCACTATAACTTAAGACCATTGCTCCTGGTTCTGCCATACGTCACTACTGAGAACAGCCTTTCTCCATCCTTTTTGCAACCTCCCTTCAGGAAGTTGAAGGCTGCTATCAAATCCCCCCTCACTCTTCTGCAGACTAAACAAACCCAAATTCTTCAGTCTTTCCTCATAGGTCATGTGCTCCAGCCCCCTCATCATTTTGGTTGCCCTCTCCAATGCGTCCACATTCTTTCTATAGTGGAGGGCCCAGATCTGAACACAATACTCCAGATGTGGCCTCTCCAGAGCCAAATAAATAGGAATAATTACTTGTCTAGATCTGCTGGCAATGCTCCTCCTAATAAAATCTAATATGCCATTAGCTTTCTTGGCTGCACGAGCACACTGTTGACTCATATCTAGCTTCTTAACCACTGTAATCCCCAGGTCCTTTTCTACAGAACTGCTACTTAGCCATTTGGTCCCCAGCCTGTAACAATGCTTGGGATTCTTCCATCCCAAGTGTAGGACTCTATACTTGTTCTTGTTGAACTTCATCAGATTTCTTTTGTCCCAATCTCCTAATCTGTCTAGGTCACTCTGTACCTTATCCCTGCCCTTCAGCATATCTACCTTCTCCCTATCTTAGGGTACGTCTAGACTACAGGCTTTTGTCGACAGAAGTTTTGTCAACAGATACTGTCGACAAAACTTCTGTCGAAAAAGAGCATCTACACTACATTCAGTTCTGTCGAGAAAGCAAGCTGCTTTGTCGACATGGTAGTGTAGACGCAAAGGACAGTTTACATGCAATAACACCTTCTGTCTACAGAAACTCTGTCGACAGAAGGCGTTATGCCTCGTAAAATGAGGTTTACCAGCGTCGACAAAACTGCTGAGTTCTGTCGACGTTATGTCGACAGAACTCAGCGGTAGTGTAGACGCAGGTATAGTTTTGTCGACAAAAGTCCACTTTTGTCGACAAAACCCTGTAGTCTAGACACACCCTTAGTGTCATCTGCAGACTTGCTGAGGGTGCAATCCATCCCCCCATTCAGGTCATTAATAAAGATGTTGAACAAAACCGGCCCTAGAACAAGTCCTTGGAGTACTCTGCTAGAAACTGACCGCCAACCTGACATCGAGCCGTTGATGACTACCCGTTTGGCCTGATAGTTTAGCCAGATTTCTATCTGCCTTGCAGTCCATTTATTCTGTCCATACTCCCTTAACTTGTTGGCAAGAATATTGTGGAAGACTATATCAAAAGCGTTGTTAAAGTCAAGGCATATCATGTCCACTAACTTTTCCTTTGTGAGTTTCGGCTTGTTTTTGTTTCTTATGGATCATGAATTACTAGGTTAGATCAATGCATAGACAGGCCCTGAGCTTCCATGTCAGAGAATGAGTTAATGTGCAGTTCTTGTGACGTTCCCAGAAATCCTCTCCAAGGGAATTGAATGTCCCTGTTAAGGACTATCTGCTGAGTCTACTCACTTAGTTTCTTTTTCCTCCCTGGGTTTCTCTGTCAGGTTACTGCTGAGTCCTGCCTCCTCCTACTCTGAGTCTGAATTGCTAGTGCCCATGAATAACAGAAGATGCTGCCCATGGCAGACATGGGAACATCCCTTTCAGAGGGATTCGGGCCAAAGGAAATGCTGAGAGAGACTCCTTTGCCTAATACCCACAGAATATAATCAAATGTCATAAATTTTAGGGTTTTCCAAGAAGTTGTCCTTGCTGCGCACTTATCTCCCCATGAAAGGGCCCCGGGCTCCATCCATGCCCCTGACCAGCCCTTTCCCTGTTTTCATACAGAAACAGACACAAGCCGAGAGGCAGAAGATTGTGGCCGAGTTTCAGCAGCTGCGGCAGGGGCAGTTCTTGGAGGAACAAGAGCGACTCCTGCTGGCCCAGCTGGAGAAGTTGTACGAGGAGATTAGGAGGCTCCAGACTGACGCTAACAGGAAACTCTCCGCACAGATTTCCCGTCTCAGCGAGCAGATCGTTGAGCTGGAGGGGACGTGTCAGAAGCCAGTGAGTGATTTCCTGCAGGTGAGACCGAGGGAGAAACATCTCAGCTCCCCACATAGGGAAGAGATGCTCCTGAATAACAAGCACTCGGGTCCAGCCATCAGATCTGGGCTTAACTCGGCGTGTGCATTGCTGCCATGAGAGTCACTGTTGTGCTTTGCAGAGAGACGGCAAAGCCCCATTAGCTCACAGAATCTATGGCCCTGGGGCCAGGTCAGGGCGTCTCTTCCCCATATTTGTAAAATGCCTTCCCTGTGTGTGTCCAGAGTATGCCCAGTGCAGCTGAGATTCTTTTCTGTCTCTTTTCTCTAGGATGTCAGAAACACCTTGAACAGGTAGGTGGCTCGCACTCCTGTCATACTGCACAGCGCAGAGAAAGAGCTTGAGGCTGATGTTAGCACCACATCTCCCCAGGGCTCTACAGCCAGATGTTGGATAGAAATGTCTCTGACTCACTTAATTCTGAGGGTCTCATCCTTGCACAGCAGACTCTGGAATTCTCCATTCAGGGGCACAGTCTGACTTCAGATATTTCCTAGAGCTGTCACCTACCTGGGGACTGGCTGCCTCAGGACTGTGGGACTGGAATATGGTTCTGTCACTACTGGGCACGTTCAGCCCAGGGCAGCAGGGACCCAGAGTCTGTCCTACCTGAGAGCTGTTTGGAGGCGTGTGTGGAAGGAGCTTGGGAGGAAGGAGCTGGTGTCTCGGTCTATTTCCTAGTGGGCAGATTCCTGCAGCCCTTCACCTGGGAACCTCCTGTCCCTTATCGCCCGGAGGCCTAAGAGTGAATTGGCCATTGAGACTCTGTTCCACTTTTCTCCCCAGCTGGTCTCTCTGGGCCATAGGTGAAGAACAGCAGTGGGACCTTTCAGGGGGAGGTTGCACAGCCATGGACTGTGTTGCCCCTGCTCTCAGGCTAGGGGAATTCAAGGAATTCTAACTCCAGGCCTGTTAGAGCTGAGACTCACTAGCCAAATCTAGTCCTGTTTTTTGTTTCAGCTACACCAGACTAACATGGCTACATTTCTATCACTAGCCATATCTTATCATCTGTAAATGAAATAGAATCACATGGAATTGTTTCTGTCCAGGTGTGAGATGGGGCAGTTCCAGCTGCCAGAGGAGATTTTCAGAGGTTTCTCCCAGAAAACGATTGCTCTGTCGGAATCTCTGAGGGAATTCAAAGGTACCTGGAAGTGCAAGAACTTGAAATTTAATGATAGTTTTAGGAATAGGGAAGTGCCTTTTGTGGGGCTTGTGAAAATCCACTTAGATTTTGCTAGGTTTTAAACATCTCCACTTTTCTATTAGCATGTGATCTGATAGAGCTCTTTATTGGTATGGTGAACACTCCGTCTACACTGAGTTATCTCTTTAGCCCAACAGAGATTGAGCTCCATGCAGTTGCCATTCTGGCTTATGGAAGGATCTAGGGAGGGATCATGAATTCTAGACCCAGCTCTTGTACTGACTAGAAATAAGATTTTTGTGCACTTCCAGTCTCGTCTTAATTGAGCAAGACCTAACTTTTGGAGGCAATCAGTATCACTCGGTCTGTTTAACAGAGTAACTGAAAGTCTATGTAAGAACCTGAACCCAGTCCTCAAACATGTCAATTATAAATGGCATCCACAACTGCACACTTCTTTATAATAAATGTATCTACTTGCTCAGCAGCTGCCTGGGTATTCGCATCCCTTAGCATGCATGCTTGCCTTTTAGGCAAAGCCTTGGCTTTTGTCACACAATGATGTGGTTGAACTCTTCACTCCTCTTCCTTGTTGCATTAAGCAACAGGTTGGAGCCAGGTGTTGAGTCCAGGGAAACAGCAGAATGAAACCCAGCAATCACGGCACACACAACCCTAAATCTAATCCAGTGATCAGTGAGGAGTCCCAGGGGCACTGCATGGGGACCTGTGAACACTTTGAGAAACGCTGGTCTATGGGTTTGTGATACTAAAGGGATGAAGTTAAAGCACACAACAGACAGCACCTTCAGGCTCAGATTTCATCGCTCAGTCGGTTTCAATATGGGGTTGGTTTCAAACAATAAATAGGTTGAAAGGCTGAGAGCTGACTGGCTTCCATGGTATCAGTTTGTTCATGGTGAGAAACTGCTGAATAAGCAAGGGCTCTTCGGTCTAGTGCAGGCTTGAGCAAAATACAGCCTATGGGCTGGATCCAGGTCACCAGGCCATCTGATCCGGCCCACTGATGCTAGGTGAGCAATGGGCTACTTCCATACTTGCCACTTCCCACCTGCAAGCCACTCAGAAAGTGAAGGTGAGACTGGAGGTGAAGGGGGAAGACTTGAGGCACTACTTCCACCCCCAGAACAATCTCATTGGCTGGTTTCTGGCCAGCAAAGAAGCAATGTGCCCCCTCCCCTCCGGCTTATAGTTATTCACACACCCACATGGCCCTGCAGCCTGTGCGAGGGTTGGGCAGGCTCCTTGCCTGCCTCAGAGAGGTCCTTGGCTGCTGGCCGGGAGTCACTCAGGTAAATCTCCTGGCCAGAGTTTGCCTCTGGCACCCCAACTTCTCTGCCCCCCCACTCCACATACCCAAACTCTTTTTCTTCCTGCATCCAAGTATGCAAGAAGCTCTTCATGGTCAGAAACCCTCAGCCCCTTATTTGTCCAATCAGCCACTTCTCTAAATTAACTTTACTTTAAATATCTCAAGAGTAGTTGGCTAATCCAGTACCCCAGATCACACCTGCCTCCTTTACCCAAGCTCCTTCCCAGACCATCCCATACGCTGTTATTTCCTGCTTAATGTCTTGGAAGAGTGCAGCTCTCAACCACTTTCCAAAATCTAGGATTCCCCCCCTCCCTCCCATCAAAATGAATTGCCCATCCCTGGTCTAGTGGATACAGCTCAGTGAGAGCCAATAACTGAAAGCTGCAGCAGGAGAATTTCAGGCTAGAGAGGAGGCACAAATATTTGATGGGTAAGTGGATTAGCTGCTGAAACAAATGAGCAAAGAACTGATGGGTTCTCCATCTCTTGATGTCTTCAAATCAGCACTGGGTGACTTTCTAGAAAACATGCTGTGGCGAAACAGAGCTTTGTGCCTGGGTAGCTGGGCTAAGTGTAATGGCTTATGCCACAGAGGGGACAGACTGCATGACTAAGGATATCTTCTGATGCCATGAATCCATGAATTTTACAATCTTAATCCTGCAAACACTCAGCATACATGTTTAATAATATGTATCTGAATACTCATATTAACTTCACTTCCTCTCTGTTCTGGAGAGGGTTTATAAAGTCTGTGTCAGATAAGAGAACCAAAGTTGGGGCTGCAAATCAATGTAGGAAGACTAAGGATTATGAATACAGCAGCCCAAAGTAAATTATACCTGTGTCCGTGTTCAGGCAGATGAATATGTGGCTTGTTAGCAGAAACACTGGGTGCTGAGAACTGAATCCCATTGTTGCAGGCTAAGTAATGTAACTCAAGCCAGATATTGAGAGAACTAAATACGGCTTTCGGACCTAACTTGTGTGTGGTGTTTATGGAATATATCTAGACTCAACGTTTGCCCAAAACTGCAGAGTCCAGCATGTTTTTCACCAGGGACAGAGTCTGGGCAGAATTGGGGTGTGGAAAGTATTAAAGCCCTTTTTGAAATGTCTCCAATTCCCCTGACAGGCTGCAGAGCACCCATGTCTGACTGTAGCTCAGCCCCAGGCCTGCAGAGCCAGGGACAGGAAATGGCCATGATGGAGCCCGTGAGCTTTGAGGAGGTGGCTGTGTATTTCTCTGAGGAGGAATGGGCTCTGCTGGATCCGGGCCAGAGAGAACTCTACAGGGATGTGATGCAGGAGAATTATGGGGCTGTGAGATGGCTGGGTGAGGATTCCTATCCCCTTGTGTTACAGAAGCTGGGTGGGCTCTGGAGCAGCTGGGTTGGGTTTGGTTCAGGGTCCCTCATTGCCCGAACCCCCAATATCAACAGTATCTGCCCAAGTAATCCTGGATCCCGTGTGAGAGGAGGTTTAGTGACACAATAGCAGTACTGCTCTTCCCACAGCCAAGGTCTCACTTTGGAACCCCCAATCTTGCCCATGTTGTGCCTTGGCCAAAGGTGTCAGTGGAAGGGCCCAGGCAGGAATGGCAGGTACCAGAGTTGTGGGGCTGGGTGCAGCTGCCCTTAGCGTCTGCAGGATCCCCTTGTGCTATTCTGCTGAGCCGCTGGAAGAAAGGCGCCAACTCAGAGTCCTTCCCTGCCTCTGGTAGATTCTGTGCAAGCCAGAGGGGCACCAAATGGCAGGCCCAACTGGCCACAAGAGCAGGGCTGCTGCTGCTGGCAGAGTAGAACCAAGGCTGTAGAAGGGGAGCTGAGCTGGAGGAGCAGCAGAGAAGCAGCCCAGCTTGTCTCCACCTTGGCTGGCCGCAGGAACAGCCTGGCAATGCCCTGGCTGTCTGCAGGACTGACAGCTGTTCTGGGCCGCTGACAGGGCGCACCCATGCACTGTCAGTCAGGATCAGGTATATGGAGCATAGGCAGGGCCAGAAGTGGCCAGCCAAGGATTTATTTTCCTGGTGAGATAACTTCCCCTGCTGCCTCCTGGCTCAAGAAGAGCATCTGAGCCCAAGAACAGGGCAAGTCCTCCCCCAGCCAAGAGTTCTGTGGGCAGAGCCCTCTAGAGCTCTGCTGCATCCTTTCCCTCCCAGCCCTAGTGACCTGGCAGCTCAAATCTGAGTCCTGGCTAGGGGTGTCTGTCAGTCCTGAAAGTCCTAGAGCTCTCCACTTGTGAGCAGTGTGTTCATGTCCTGCCCAAGTGTGGAACAGGCCCTAAGGGAGACTGAGTTGTATCCTGGAGAGTGGAGCAGAGCGCTCAGTTCCCCATGGGAGTCAGCTGGGCTATTCCCAACATGGTAGTGAGAGAATGGAATTAGTGTTTTCTGGGATGTTGTACCAGCCAGAGACCAGTCTGTGGAAGGTGGGGAAGGAGCCTTTCTGGGTAGGAGACTCAGATCCTGGCTTTGGAAGCAGTAATGGCACAGACCTTAATGAACAAGATCAGCACTTGGTCAATTGCTCCCCAAATAGGATTTCCAGGCTCCAAAGCTCATGTGCTCTCCTGGGTAGAGAGAAGGAATGAGCTGCAGATCCCGGATCTCCAAGGCTGTGAGGAAGGGGAGATCATCAGTGACACCCACACAGGTGAGAAATCAGCTAAACTGACTCAAACCAATTTCTGTGTTCTCATAGCAGATGTTGGTTATGTGTTTTCATCAAGTGTGACTGGCCCTTCAACCTGTCTTCAACTCCAGTCTGAGCGTGGGTAGAGAGAAGGAATGAGCTGCAGATCCCGGATCTCCAAGGCTGTGAGGAAGGGGAGATCATCAGTGACACCCACACAGGTGAGAAATCAGCTAAACTGACTCAAACCAATTTCTGTGTTCTCATAGCAGATGTTGGTTATGTGTTTTCATCAAGTGTGACTGGCCCTTCAACCTGTCTTCAACTCCAGTCTGAGCGTGCCTGATGGGGAAAGATCAAGAGTTATGGGGGAGCAGGGTGAACTCAGCTCATGATTAAGTCTTTCCAGCCATTCTTTGGGTGTGTCCCCCATTTTCTGTTCTCCATTCAGAATTTGTCTTTCAGTTCAGCACAGGGAATGACTCCTCTGTGGTTTCTCTCTCTATCCCAGCAGGTGATGAGATGCTGAATGAGATCAGTGAGAGGAGTCTTCAGGAGGAAGGACCTGAGCGAATGGCTCCTTGTGGGGTGTTAGTACGAAGATGTGAAGGGCATGTTTCTCAGAGTCCTGAGAAAGGGGAGACCTGTATGAGTCAGCATAGCCTACAAAGGCAGCAGGGAAACTATCCAGGAGCAGGACAGGGTAAATCCAGTCACAGGAGCAGAAGGTTGAAAACAAACACAAAAATGGTTCACAAGAAAATCCCCCATCAACATTCACCTTGTGCTTGCAGTGACTGTGCAACTCTTATCAAACATGGCAGAGCCCAAACAGGAGAGAGACCCTTCAGCTGCTCTGACTGTGGGAAAAGCTTCAGTCGGAGGTCACACTTTATTATCCATGGGAGAAGCCACACAGGGGATAAACCCTTCAGCTGCTCTGACTGTGGGAAAAGCTTCAGTCGGAGGTCACACTTTATTATCCATGGGAGAAGCCACACAGGGGATAAACCCTTCAGCTGCTCTGACTGTGGGAAAAGCTTCAGTCGGAGGTCACACTTTATTATCCATGGGAGAAGCCACACAGGGGATAAACCCTTCAGCTGCTCTGACTGTGGGAAAAGCTTCAGTCGGAGGTCACACTTTATTATCCATGGGAGAAGCCACACAGGGGATAAACCCTTCAGCTGCTCTGACTGTGGGAAAAGCTTCAGTCGGAGGTCACACCTTGTTAGCCATTTGAGAGCCCACACAGGAGAGAAACCCTTCAACTGCTCTGACTGTGGGAAAAGTTTCAGTCAGAGTTCACAGCTTATTAGCCATAGGAGAGCGCACACAGGGGAGAAACCCTTCAACTGCTCTGACTGTGGGAAAAGCTTCAGTCGGAGGTCACACCTTGTTAGCCATTTGAGAGCCCACACAGGAGAGAAACCCTTCAGCTGCTCTGACTGTGGGAAAAGCTTCAGTCAGAGCTCACACCTTGTTAGACATAGGAAAACCCACATGCGAGAAACCATTCAGCTGTTCTGACTGTAGGAAATGCTACAGTCAGAGGTCACACCTTGTTATCCATAAGAGAACTCTTACAGGAGATAAATCCTTCAACTGCTCTGACTTTGGGAAATGCTATAGAAAGAGTTCAAGTCTTGTGGCTTATAGTTGAACCCACACAGGTGAGAAACCCTATAGTAGTGGTGAACAAATTGTTTTCTGTTGGCACAATCCAGCCTACCTAAGGCTTTGATCCTGTCCACAAGGCAGTGCCAGGTCCCACCTCCAAATGAGCATGTGCTGAGGGAGAAGGAGCTTAGCCCCACCCCCTCTTCATGCTGTGTAGCCACTAGAGAGGAGGCAGCGCTAGGCTGAGTCTTTGCCACGCAACCTGAGGCTAGCAGTAGAGGCACTGCTGTCACTGCACTGCTGGCCGCCAGGGCCACATGGCCATGTCAGGGGTGCTTCTGGGGCTGGTCCTGGTCTTGGGCTGCATGGCTGCAGCAGCAGTACCTCCAGCCCTGGACTGAATGGGTGCAGCAATGGTGCCTACAGTGTCCGGGGCTGGTCCTGGTCTCTGTGGTTGCTGCAGGAGAAGAGCCTTCCTCTGGAGTGACCAGGACAGTGTGGCTAGATATGTTGCTGTAAGGGGGCTCAAAGCCAGGTAATATTTGCTGTCATCCCGTAGACACCCCCTCCCAATCTCCTCAATTCCCTTTCCCCCAGCAGCCAGCACCCCCAGCTTTCTTTGACAGGGTACAAAAAAAAGGAGGCTCTCTCCTGGCCACATACTGTACCTTACTCCTGGCCAGACACCTGCCTCTTTCTGTATCCAAGATCCTTCCTCAAGATTCCAACCCTTTCTTGAGGCCCCTGTCACATTATTGGATTTTAAGGTGAGCATACAATTCACTGCTGTGATCACGGGGAACTGTTTGCCCCACATTTGGTACAAAGTAGGCCATGTGAGGTGTCAAACAAAAGTTGATATTTTGCTTATTCTATGTATGGTATTCATGTACTTGTTTGGAGTTTGTATGGGGAGTTATGAATATGGGCTCTGCTGGTGCTAGTATGGACTGCCTGTCATGAGGAAGGAATGTCCAATGAGTGACTATGCTATTCAGTATGGCTCCAAGGACAATGGCTCTCCAGGTGGCCAATACACACCTGAGGAATGCGTGTGAAAAGTTGCAAAGCAGCCATGCCCCAGTGGCTGCTGGCATATGAAACAGAAAGGTCACTTGACCATGTGATTATCTCCAGCTTGGGAGACACCAGAAATGAATATCAAATGCCATGAGGGGGGGCTCCATCTTGTCTTCAGTCTTGCTTCTTATCCCAGATGCAGTCTTGCTAAGGACAGAGACAGGGGAAGGATTGCTGACTCATCCTGACATATGATGTACGCCAAAGACTTTTATGCTAGCAGTCTGTAACATCTCCACTAAGATCATCAAGAACTTGCTGATTGATGTATATGATGTATATAATGTATATAATATCAACCTTACTCTCAACCTTTTCTTTAGGTTGAGAGTATCAACCTTACTCTCAACCTTTTCTTTCTTTTATTAATAAACCTTTAGATTCTAAAGGATTGGTCCACTGTGATCTTGTGGGTAAGATCTAAAGTGTAAATTGACCAGGGATTCATGGCTGGTTCTTTGGAACTGGGTGGATCTGTTCTGGTTTGGAGAGATTGGCTTCTATAACCCCTCACCTGAGTGTAAGCCCAGGGCTGATTGTGGCACAGGAAGAGCTGGGGTATCTGAGGGGTTTTGCTTATGAGGCTTCCTGTGGGCTGGACTGGCAGATGAAGTGCTCAGTATGACTGGTTTGTGGCCTATTTCGGAAAGGTCTCTAGTCAAGGGCTGTCAGCAGTCCTGGTTTTGAGCAATTTGCCCTGAGTGGATTCCCTCAGCGGTGCCCAGGCCCAGCCCCAGCCCTGCCCAGCCTATCATCACCCTGCCCTCTCCAAACCTTCTGTAGGCTATTGTTGCTAATGGAAACTCACTGTTAATTACATAATTAGTCAAGCCAGTTTCATGTAAATTATTCAAGAGATTAAACCTTTTAAATTTCTCATGTTACTTGATCAAACTTTATTGTAAGTTAAGTAAAATATTTGTCCAATACATACGAAAAAAATCAATGTTTTTATTTATTGCAGGGGTGGAGAACCTTTTTTGCATTGGGGGCCACTAACCCACAGAAAAATCAGTTGGAGAACACATAAGTGAGAAGCAAAAAGCTCCTCCCCAAAGCCCCAGCCCTCAAAGATGTGGCCCCCAACTGAGACACCTCACTCTTCTGGCATTCACAGGGTATGGGGAAGAGACAGGGAGGACTGAGGTTCAGGACTTCCCATAGGCCAGATTTACTTTCCCGGAGTTCCAGAATTAGTGGATTTTGTGGATCTCCTTAGGTTCTAGGGTGGAAACAAAAGTGTGCTGACCTGACTCTGCACTAGGCTAGTGCTATGTGTGCCATGTAGCTTCCTGCAGTGCTGCGGACAATGTCCAGCATCCAGGTCCTGCAATCACTCTCTAACATACCTGAGGAAGGTCTCCAAGAAGCCCTGGGGGTTGGGTTCCTGCAGAGCTTGGAAGGCAGCCTGCAGGAAGTGCTGCATCCGTAGTAAATGCCTTGATAAGTTTAATCACTGTATTGTTTTGACAGATGCCACACTCCTCCCTTAGGCCTTGCTCCTAACCCCACTCCCTTCTACCACCAGTGTTACCAAAAGACAGACAACATAGAGGGCCATGAGTCTTACATGTGTAACATCCTGTCTCCAGAATAGGGGGAGGACTATGCATTTTACAATTTTGAATATATGCAAGAAACGGGTACATGTGGCAAACTGTGTTTATGCCTTCCACTTTGTGACAAAGTCCCTTGTTAGCTCCCCCTGGGTTCTGTGCTTTTTGACAGTTTCTTGTGTGCCTCAGAGACTCAAGCTACAGAAGATGTCAATTTGATCTTATTTTCAAATACGCTTTAGTGTCTACACAGCACTAAATATCAAAATAACCTGCTATTCTGAAATGTCCCTTACACCTCATGGAATGAGGTTCACAGGGACATTGGAATAGTGAGCCCATTGCATTTCAAAATTGGGGGGCACTGTTAACCCACAGGATAGTTATTATGAGGGTCTCCGTACCCCAAAATAGCACTACAGTGTTGTGGTCTCCTTACAGGCCTATAACAGGGGGCAGGTTTGATGCTGAATTTTCAGCCTTCTGCTCTCTGTTGCTGTCAGCAGCCATGGGCATCTCTAGTGCCCCCACCCCTCACAGATTGCCAGACAAGAGACAGAGCTGCCAGGGGGACAGGTGTTTTCAGACTTACAGCAGGGGGCACAAATTTCTCTTTAGGGAGCCTGCAGGAAAGGAAGCCAAAGAAGATGGATTTTGAGGGGTTTGTAGCAACCAGTCTAGCCTCAGCAGGTCCCCCTGAGATTTGACCTCAGATTGCAGGATTCAGAGTCCTGAGTACTGCCCCTTATACCACAGGACCTACACAAGACACCTGTGACTCAGCTGGGCCAGACTGGAGCCCAGGACCGTGCCTCCTGGGACCAGCTTTGCTTGTTTTCCTTCCACCCAGGACCCCCTTCTTCTCCTCCTGGGCTTCAAGGAGCCTCCCTGGGATGCCCAGAGACAAACACAGGACTCTGCCTCCCCACAGCCAGCCCCACCCCACAGGACTTGGCAGAACAAAGGGGAGGGGGCTCTGCCCACCCTACTGAGTCACACTGAAATGCTGAGCTTTTGTCCTGCCCCCCTCAGCTTGGCTTCCCTCCTCCTCCCCATTTTTGCCTTGCTTCCTCCTTAGGCAAATCATACAAGGGAGGCAGCAAGAGGAGCCAGCCCCATGCACCAACCTTCCAGGGCAGGGGAGGCAAAGCTACAAGCCTCTAGCAGGTTCCTGGCCTAACCATCTTACTTACCTAGGCTGGCACCAAAGTGCATTCTCACCTGATCTAACCCCCCCCGATCACATGAGAGTTGGGCTTATCCCAGGGAAAGGGCCAGGTAGCAGAATCTGCACTTACCTGGGCACCAGGGGGAGCTGCAGTAAGAGCAGAGCCTGTGTTTCTGCCTGGCTTTGAATCAGGGATCTTTTGCATGTTAGGCAAAAGTGATAACCACTAGCCAGCCCCATGCACCAACCTTCCAGGGCAGGGGAGGCAAAGCTACAAGCCTCTAGCAGGTTCCTGGCCTAACCATCTTACTTACCTAGGCTGGCACCAAAGTGCATTCTCACCTGATCTAACCCCCCCCGATCACATGAGAGTTGGGCTTATCCCAGGGAAAGGGCCAGGTAGCAGAATCTGCACTTACCTGGGCACCAGGGGGAGCTGCAGTAAGAGCAGAGCCTGTGTTTCTGCCTGGCTTTGAATCAGGGATCTTTTGCATGTTAGGCAAAAGTGATAACCACTACACCAGAGAAGCACATCTTGCTGGTGGAACTTGGCTGACTATTCTGTTAATAGCTCTTTCCAATACCCTGCTCTGCAGGGGAGGGGAATGCACCTTGTGAACACTCCACCTCTTGTTCTCATGGAAGCGACTAACCCAAGCCGCCAGCTCCTCCTTTCCTCACTAGCCCCTTGAGATTTATAGCTCAAAGCTGGAGCTGCTGTGGAAGGAGGTGAAACTACAGAAGCTGACGAGACAATCAGCTGGCAGAGGGTTATTTTTTCCCCTCGCTGGGGCTCATGTGGCTAGAACTGAGGAGAAGAAAATCCTCTTCCCTTCTCCTCAGAAGATGGAAATTTCAGTTGGTTCTCTCTTTGGTTCTACTGAAGTTGGACCCCAGGGCTAGACTGTTTCTTTCTAAAACCCTAGTGAAAGCTGAGAGTGAATTGCTTTTAGACTGAGAATGTGAGTTAAGGAAGGGCATCACCCAGCATGGGGCTTGAACCCATGACCCTGAGATTAAAAGCCTCATGCTCTACCAACTGAGCTAGCCAAAAAGTGTACAAGCAGCCTTCTCACAGCCAATCACACCATAGCAGGAGCCAAATGTTCTCAACTGCCTGACTCAAGGCTCTTTCTTGCTCATAATGTGGGGCTCTGGTCTGTGGGGATGTTTGAGCTCAAACCCCACTCCTGACTCATGAACTTTCCCCACAAGGAACAGCCCTATTTTCATCTCTTCAGTGAGAGAAGGGCCCCAGAGTCTCCCAGCAAGGCTCTGGCTTGTTCTCTGCAAAATGTCCAGCCTGTTTCATTTTCTGCAGGAATGACTGGGATCCATGCGCCCTGTTCCCCAGTGACAAGTGTGTGTCCTCTCTCCCCTTTCCACAGACACAGTAGGCCAGGGGGATATGATCCTCCAGTGGCTCCTTCCTACTTGACCTCCCACAAAGCTGGAGTGAAAAGCTGCTGGCAGGAGTACTGACTGAAGGAAGGTTGCAGGTGGAGCACAATAAGCTTAACTGGAGAAGTGCTGCCTTTACAGGCCAGAGGTAGCAGGATTCACTCCCATCTTCTCCTGCCTGCGCCCCCTTTCCTGCTGCCCCAACTCTTATTCCCACAATGCACTTTGTGCGGGGGCCATTAGTCTTTGTGCCAAGGTACATGGCTGGGAGCCAGGACTCAGGGCCCTTCCCCAAATACACAAATCCCTCCCTCCGACCTGCTCACACTGTCTGACTGGCTCCAGCACGGGCTGAGCTCAGGGGCCAGGGAGGTGACCTGCCTTGCAACTGTAATAGCATCAGACTCCTCCCACCCACCCGCTTTGTCTGGCAACAGTGCTCCAGTGGGCCTCAGACACCCAGCAAGAGGAACAAAACCATGTTTTTAAAACCTCAGTGCATGGAAGACAAAGCACCAAGATTTCACAGCAATCAGCCCAGCCCCAGCAAGTCCCACTCAGATCTGAACTCAGGTTACAGGATTCAGAGCCCTGAGTGCTGCCCATTTCACATTGAATCTGAGCAGCTAGTACTCTTGGTTCTCAGGCTGGCCTCTGTTTTCCCGGCTTCCCGCCAACTGCTTCGTCTCTCAGGACTCTCTGTCCTGCCCCAGCTCTGCTGCCTTCAGGACAATTCCCTTGTTAGAACCAGTCACACTCTGGGGTCCGTGCGGGTCCATCCTGCATGAAATGTGTGTTACACAAAAATTTCTTGTTCATGGCCCAGTTCCCAACACTAGATGCAAACACATGGTTGCTATGGGGGTGTAGCAAGTGCCCCCTTAAATAGTGGATTATTTTTAATTAAACATTTGCATCTCCAGTTGTGTCACATTGTGGATTTCTGTTGAACAGGGATTCTTAAAATGACCACAAACCCCTAACGTGTTCCTGCGCCAATGCATATAAACCAGGCAAACCCCAGCCTCAGCTCCATTTTTGTCATTACCATTTTTCCAAATTAAGTGTTCATTCCTAAGAAAACAATTCAGTGCTTTAGAAAAGAAATCCTACCCCTCAATCCATGTCATTACTTTAAAAAAAATATTTCCCCCAGAAGCATCTTGAGCTATTACTAGTAA